GGAAACGACAATGTTTGTTGTTGATGTACTGAAGTACAATGGTACTATCTGTCCAAAAGAAAGTCTTTTCAATTGGAATCTCCAAGTGGCGCTTGATATGCTGATCCAGCTCCGTAGCAACTACAGCTGCAAGTAGCTCCAGACGCGGTATGCTAATTGGCTTGATTGGTGCAAGTCTGGCCTTTGACATCACCAGCCTGCAGGTGTCGCCAATCCTGATGTATGAAACAGCGCCGTAAGCCAGTTCCGAAGCATCGGAAAAGTGATGGAGCTGAGTCTCTAGCAAGCAACTAGCGGATGTTGGTCTAAGACATCTTGGAATTTTCAGCGCAGACAACAGAGGCAAGTCATTTAGCCATCTATGCCACTGTGCTGCTAAGTCTACCGGTACCTCCTCATCCCAGTCGACTTTCATGCGGCACAACTCTTGAAAGATTGCCTTTGCTTTGAGCACGAATGGACTTGCAAATCCTAAAGGATCATAGATGGAACTAGTAGCGCTCAATACTCCTCTCTTTGTTGCAGGTTTGTCCACTGCCTTGGCATCGAATGTGAAGCAATCTCTTTCAACATCCCAAAGGACACCCAGTGTTCGTTCAAATGGCAAATCCTCCTGGTCAAGGTTGACCTCATGTAATGACTTTGCCCAATCATCAGCTGGTATCGATTTCATCACTTCCTTAGAATTGCTTAACCATTTGGTTAATCTAAAGCCTCCACAGGTGAGTAGCTCACGGAGTTCGGAAGCAAGTTTAATGGCGACCTCCACCGTAGGTACTGACTTAAGACAGTCGTCGACGTAGAAATTTCCTTTCAATGTTTGCACGGTGTCATTAGAGAAACTTCCACGGTTGTCTTCAGCCACTCGTTGCAAGGCAAAATTGGCAGCACTAGGACTCCAGACACCTCCAAAAAGGTGGACCATCATACGGTAATGCTTAGGCGGTTTGTCCGGGTCGTTGTCCTCCCACCACAGGAAGCGAAGCACATCTCTTTCATCAGGTGGCACTCGGACTTGATAAAACATGCTCTCGATGTCCGCGTTCAGAGCAACGGGTTCTTGCCTAAACTTGAGAAGAACTCCTAGTAGCTTATTGGTAAGGTCTGGGCCTTGGAAAACATGATCATTCAACGAAGTACCTTGGTACCGTGCCGCACAATCGTAGACAATACGAACTTTCTCCGGTTTGCGTGGATGTAGCACCGGATGATGTGGCAGGTACCACACGCAACCATCGTCTCTTTTAACGTCAATGACCTCTTCTGCATATCCTTTCAGCAAACAGTCTCTGATACCTTCTGTATACCTTTGATGCAAAATCGGGTCCTTCTTTAACCTCTTTCCTAGAAGGTCTAATCGATGTTTGGCCATTCCGTAGTTATTGGGCAGTTGTGGTGGATGTTCTTTGAAAGGGATCGGTAGAGTATAATGACCATCCTCTTTGACTGCTTGCTTGTTCCATAGATCAACAACTTGCTCGTCGACTACTGACAGCGAGTCATTGTTCACGTGCACTGGATCATCCAGTTTCCAAAATCTTTCAACAGCTTGTTGTAGAGAGTGGTCAGCTTGAATGAAATTGGCCGAAACAGATGTTGAACCATCAGCTACTGGCCCATGGAGTGTCCACCCCAGGCCAGTTAGAATCGCATAGGGTTCGCCTGACTCACCGCAGCATGTTTCACGGGGGGCGAGTATGTCTGGTTGGTCTAGACCTATCAGCAGGTGAACCTCATCAGCTAGATCAACGTCAGGTAAACTGATTTCATCAGCAATGTCCTTTAGGTGCGGCCACTGGGACACCTCAAGCTGTGTGACCAAGTTGTCTAGACTTATGTTCAGCTGATCCCGACAGAGCACTCCTTTCATCAGGTAAGAGTTTTTTTGTTGAGCATCTTCAACTCGTAGGTCCACCGCTAAGGTGGCTACGTTGAGATTTTTGGTCTCCATGGTGTTCAGTTTAATGTTCATTTTGCATGACTCCAGTTTAAGTGCGTGAACTAACTTCTTAGAAGCAAAGGTCCCATTAGAGCCACTGTCAAGCAAAGCAAAGACATTCATAGAGAATCTGTTGTGTCTGTCTGAAACCACTACGGGCAAGATGGGAAGTGCAATCTTCTTTCGACTGGCTTCAATGCACTTTCTAGTGGCATGTGCTTGAATGGCTTGAGGCGGGTCAGCAGTTGGCTCACCTCTAGTAGCTTGATTAGTAGATTGGGCGTTGTCGTCGTTGTTAGAAGCTACAATGGCGGAGTGCAGCCAACTGTTGTGTTTTTTCCCACATCCAGGCACCTTGCATACCCAAGTGCGAGTACAGACTGTGCTGCGATGACCTTTCATGAAACAGTTCAGACAGAGTTGCTTTTGTTGAACAAAGGCCAACCGCTCTTGAACAGACAGAGCTCTGAAGGCTTGACACTGGTTCAGAAAATGTCCGTCAGTGCACTTTGGACACTTAAATCTTGATGTTGGTTTTGGTGTGGATGAGGTGGTGCATTCATTAGTAACTGACACTGTTGCAAATGTCTGCTTTTTCTTATTGAAAGTTGACTTAGTACTTGGTTTAGAACTTGCTGGAGAATTTCGACTGGCAGAGCTAAGGAGATTCCCAAAAATAGGATCTGCCCTCTTTTCAGCTTCTGATTGAACAAGACTGACTATGTCATCTAACTTTGGCAAATGACCAGACTTGATGATCTCATAGTTTATTGTGAGCCACCTTTTCTTTATGTCTTCAGGTAGCTTTTCCACAATTTGTAGCAAAGTGCGTCCACCGTTTAGCTCTTCCTCACACTTCATTGCCTTTAAAGTGTCTCGGCAGCTGCACAGAATGTCCGCGAAGCTTTGCAACTGCTTGTTGTCTTTAATATCTTTGTGATTAAGCACCTTGTCAACCCATGCTTGTGATATTGCATATGGATTGCCAAAACGTCTCTTCAGAATAGCCATGGCTTCAGCATAGCCCAAGCTAGAGTTGGGGTTGTACAAGCAATGTGAGATAGCATCTCTAGCTTGACCGACAGTGTACTGATGCAGGCGAGTGAGTTTCTCTTGATCTGGCACTGTCTCTTTATCAATCACAGAGGAGAACAATCTCATGAACTGCCAGTACTTTAAAGGTTCTCCATCGAACTTGATGATGTCAACTGGTGGTAGATGCATGGAATCGATGTGTGACTGATATTGTTGCCTTGACAGGTCTAATAGTTGGCATAAAGAATTCTCATTCTCTGCTGAAAGTGAGGAACGAAAGTTGATGGATGCGTTACCTGAGACAGGAGTGGAAAAGTCTTTATTTATTGTTGTTAACTCAGCCTTTCGACGGTTTTCCTCCATCTCAGCATCTTTGAGTTTCAGTAAGCCTTTCAGACCATCCATTTCCAATACTGCATGTTGAAGTTGTAAGTTAAACTCTGCACGAAGGCGTTCTTCCTGTCGAGCAATAAGCATGGAAAACTCTTCCTTTTCTTTCTGTCTTAGATTTTGTAGCCCTTGAAGCTGGGTAGACAGCTGGTCTACTGAAGACATTGGAGATTTAACGGCTTCATCAAACTTTGACTCTTCCTCTTGGAAATGAAGTGCATCTGAAGATTCTATGTTTGGATCCTCCATTGATGGCTTAAAGTCGTCAAACCAGCTCAAGACTGTGTGCTGCAAGTCTTGAACATCACGCAGGACTGATGTTAAATAGCCCTTAGAAGCATCAACGTCATCATCGTCTTCTAATGATTTATGGTACATGTCATGAATCTCATTAAAACGCATAACCGCCTCATCCAAAGCAGGAAGTTTCATCTCCACTTCTTTGGGTTGGTTACAGTTCATAGAAGTTGTAATCTGTGTCATCAAGCGTGTCACTGCAGCCTTTGCACTTCCACGTTGACGCTTGAGACATCTTTGTTGTTGATCAGGAGTAACACTTGTTTCTGAATCTTGGTCCATGTTGTCATTAATCTTCTTAACTCCTCGTGTTTGACTTTAATGTTACCCATGAATGATAACATTAACTTGGATTTTGTGTTTTCTCTTTTCTTTATTCCACTTGTGCAGAACTCACAATGTACACATAAGTGTGTGCGTGCGGTCAAACTGTAAATACAAATAATTCACCTTTAGTTTCCAGTCATGTATCATTTTCCCAAATAAGTTTTCTACAACATAACATCAGCTTAGATGATAAACATTATAAATCAAAGATATTCCGTACAAAGCAAATATCACACGTGGTAGACTATGTAGGCATTAAATATTATCACATGTGTGTAATAAAACTATCAATACAGATTTCTAAACAGTCGCTGTATTACAAACACCTATTAAACCTTGTAAATGCTACACATATTGCATATATGTTTAAATAAGCAATTTAAACCAAATGTCAATCCAAACTAACAAACTAATAGCATTAGGCGTTTAGGCGCTAATCGCGAATGGCGATCTACATAGTGCTTTTATCAATATACTTATAACAACAACATTTGACTTACCACGCTGGGAACATATAGTTCAGATTAAGTGTTTAGCTGTAATTGTTGTAGAACATAAGAAAGTCTGCAAATGAGCATCAACGTTGCTTTCTCGGTCAGTTCGGTTCGGTTCAGTTTTTTTTTTTTTTTTTACAGCGCCTCTTCTTCCGCGATCCCATGAGCCCACAGAATCAACGTCCTTAAAGGGGCAGCACCCTACATATGTAAAATCGTTGAGCACCCCCTTATTGCCAAAATGGCATGATCCTTGTTTTGACTGTGAGATTGACAGTCCAATGAGGCCCCGCCCATCGAAGCATCGAATCTTCGGCTGTTAGGGGTCAGCCCCAGCGCACACACAGAACAAGCAGCTAAAAAAGAGGAGATATTCACTGAATCTGACAGAAGGACATGTATTGAACAATCACATACCTACCTTAATTCTGAGTTACAGTAATTCTGTGCAAGCAACAATATTTATTGTTGTTCTTTAATCATAAATTCACCAAGAAAAAACAATTGTGACCCTTCAGGACTTGGTTGACACCATCCAGGGATTCTCCCTCACCTGGTCCATGCACTTGTCCTGACAAATCAGTGATCCTCAAAGACCACCTCCCCAAGGAGCAGTATGAGGAGCTGGCGCAACGCCGAGCGAAGGAGCTCCAACAACACAAAGCCAGGTAATGGTTGATGGATTAATGAAAATGTTAAACTCACCAGATCAGTCCTGATTTACAGATGATACACAGGAAGTGCCCTCTGTGTTTCTAATGTCTCTTAAATAACCACATAATTAAGAAGAAACAGGTGGTATAGTATTTCTCAGCCCCAATTTAATGTTTGCATTTTGAAACACAAGGCAAAAGGAATTCCAACATTATTAGTGATAGTATTTTCTTGAAATTTTGTTTTCATTGTGAAAGTATCTCCATAATGTTGTGAAAATTAAATATACAGTAGGCCTATATATACTACTACTATATAGCTATATATACAATTCCCCTTGCTACTTCTTAATTGCAAGGATAATACACCCAATTATTACTGAGAACCTTATCATGATGAAAGGGGATAACTGAACAGAGAAGCTTTTTGTTGCCACATTTGTACAATGTTCTTACTGAGATGCTCTGTCTCATAATTACCTTGAGATATTCTTGCCCATTATTATCCTTATGTTTTTGGCTCATGGATGCCCTATTACAGAAATGAACAGTATTACAAATGATCTAAGTTTTATTACAAAGTATTAGAGTACTACCATAAATTAATACGTACATCTCAGTATTATGTATTTTGCATTGTCTAACTGGTTACCTGAAGCTCCATGCGCGCAGTAATGTATTAATGCAGCACTGTTTTCAGTCTGAACACTCACTTGCCCAATTGTATTGTTAGCTTTGCTGGTTGCTAAAAATATCAGCAAGGACCAGTTCCTTGTTTGTTCTTGCCAATTTTATGGGTATGTCCACAAAAGTGATACCTGTCCCTGACTCAACAGGACAACGTCTTTATTATCCAGACAGCTGTTTGCTTTGCCCAACTCTCCTCTGCAGTATCCCATCCAGGGACTTATAGCACGACCTTTGACCACCACTCCCATACCAGGTATGTCACACAGAGCATTTGACGTTTTTACATTATACTAAATACAGTGAAAAACAATGCTGGATGACAGACTTGGGGAGATAAACCAGCAGAACTAAATAAAGAGTGTTTTCATGAAGTCTTGATTGCAGCATGACTGGAATATTGAAATGAACTGTCATGTAATGTAATCTTAAAACACACACTCATGGGTGTCTGTGATCATAGAAATATATGGTAACTGAAAATGGTGATGAGCAATAAAAAATACCTCAGCAAATGAGACAGCAATATGAACTGACAGTTGAGTATCAGGGTAGAGCGACCGTAGTACAGTGAAAGGAAGCTTGTTTAAAAGTAAACAAAGCCTGAGATGATCGTGTGTGTCCTTGGGTGTATAGCAGGATATTATGAAAGTATGAGGTCATTTTGATTTCAGGTTTAGCGCTGCATGCAGGACAAAGAAGCAGCTACAAGGTTGGTTGGTCCCATAGATGAACAGATCAACTGGTCATTCTCACCCAGATCAGTCTGGTAGAATGGCAGCTTCTGGGTGGTTGATACAAGGTGGCTGCTGGATTTTTTCAACAATAACAAATTACTGATACGATATACCATATAAAACATAATGAAGAGAAATATATATATTTCAAGCCACTGTGACACTGTATCTCTTGTTAACTTTGCACTCACCACCTTTATTGTAGAGATTTGGGGAATTGAGGACTCATGCAAAACAATGTCCATTGGGGAAAGCTGCGTGAGCTTTCCACATAAACGTAATTTAAAACATGTTAAAACATAAAAACATGTTCATTCAGGTTTTCAAAGAAATAATTAGTTGGCTTTGTGCTAATATTGTAAAGGCAGATGTATTTCTTTTACATTATTTCTGTACAGCAGCCATCTTGGTGTCAAACTTGGTGATGGGGTCCTATGGTGTACAGGTCCTGTAAAAGATGGGTATGGGTTTGATTTTGAAAGCCGTTATGTGGGTTTTATTTTACCTTTTCAATTTTTAATTTTCTATAAAAAATGTAGTAATTATAAAGTAAAATTTCCCTAATAGTAATTATTCTCCAATAATTGCATCATTGACTTAATGTCAGGCAAACACAACTTTTCCCTGGTGAATACCATGGCATAACTTGACTACTATGAACAGGACTGAGTAATTCGCATTGGCTTTCAAAAACTCAAAAGGCTTGCTCACACCAGCGTTTAAAATAGCAAAATGTCATGGCAATAGTGTTCATCCTACTGGCCCCACCTGTGAGTTCCTTCTCGGCCAGTAGACTTTACATTGTGATGATGTCACAGATTTTTAAATTGCTTTTTTGACGTGAGGAAAATTTTACAAATATAAAACTTAGAAATGATCATAATTGCCCTTGTTTGCAGTTTGAGGTGTCCTGTCAACAGTTTTACTGACGTCTCTTTTTAAAGAGGTCATATTATGCTCATTTTCAGGTTCAAAATCTTATTTATGGATTGTACCAGAACAGGTTTACATGGTTTAATTTTCAAAAAAACAGCATATTTTTCTCATACTGCACATTGCTGCAGCTCCTCTTTTCACCCTGTGTTGTACGCTCCGCTCTTGAGCTACAGAGTGATGCATCTTACTTGTAAAAGCAGCTTCAGACTGTGACCATAACCTAGCAGATGGTATAAGTTACTCACAAGTCCACAACCACACATCATCATTGTTCCACATCTTACCATCAGGACTAAACGTTGAACTGTTGCCGGTGTTCTGACGATCTATGCTGCCTTGCCGAAAAATGCTACCATAGCGCAAATCGATAGACTCGACTCTACTCGGCCCTGCTCCGTTTTCCACTGCAGGTAGCACCCAGAGATAGTACGTAGCTTGTCGTCATAGCGACGCCACACACAACTGCCGTGACGTATTGTTCAATGCGACACACACACCAGCGATCCACACAGCTTTCTCTTTTTTAAGTAAAAACGTTTCAACATTGCTCAGAATGTAAAGACAGATAAGCGGTATGAAAACCTTCCAGCTGTGTTTTCCTCTGCCATTGTTGCTGCAGCGGTCTGTGTGACGGCGGGAGCAGAGGGCTCTGTGAGCGGGCGGCTGGCCGGCCTCACACGCTCCTCCCACGGGTTGGCTTCCCCCGCAGCCACTTGCAGAGAAAATATTCAAGCACATTTTTGTTCCACCATCACTTCTTGTAAAACTGTCAATATTGGAAATCTACACAGCTGATTTGTCACCTCAAAACTTCTCAGAAGTGGATTTAGTTGCTGGCCTCTGTCTGGTGCAATGATGATGCAGTGAATAGTGAATATTCTCTCTGACCAATCAGCAGTCTGTCGTGTTTTCACGTTACATTTTAGTTTCCCTCAGCTCGCTTGGAACCTGGATGGAGGTGATATGAAAAAAAGTACCTGGAAGCAGGTACAGGTGCAACATTTCTACAATGGAAAACCAAACAAAGGGCCTCCGCTCAGACTAGCTTGGTTTGAGGGCGTGTCTGACCCCGCTAGCCGCTTGGCAAGCTTTATGACGCGTTTTCATTGTGACGTCACAAGTAAAGGAAGTGAAGGGCTGGACTACAAATGAGCTGTTTTGCAAGCGGTTCAGAGCAGAGCTTTCTGTGGGAGATGGGAACTCCCTTTGGGCTGGACTTTGGGCTTTTTCACTTTGCAAACCTGTTACATGCACAAAAAAGATATAACTCAATGAAGGAGAGGGGAAAAGCCTAAAAGCATAATACCACCTCTTTAATGGTCTAAGGTGAAAATGATTTTTGGGGTGCAGGTCAACATTTCGCTGCCATATTGTGAGTGGCTACATGGTAAAATTGGAAGGCTGAGCAGCGACACTATATCCAGGCAGCATTATACATCGATGGTCTAGTCTCACAGACAACGCGACACACCCAATTTACTACTCTTATTTGCCGCTCTGTATGACCAAGACTTTAATAAATGAAACCTGACTGCAAGGCCAATGGTGCAACTGCTCATCCTTTACTTGCAGACTTTCTGATCTGAATTTGTGGCTTTGGTGTGGGGCTGGCATTTTAGCTGAAGAAATGAATAAATAAAAAAACAATAAGAGTAATCATTTATAGAACTGATTTAAAAAATAATTAAATGGACCCTAAGTGTCCAAAAATAACATTTTCCTTTGGTTTCTTTTGGAAACAAAAACATTACATGTGAACAATTAGTAAAGAGAAAGTTAGATGGATGGGGAGTTTCTTCCTTGATCATTTACATTTTGTAAATTAGCTGCTGGAAAGTCAACAGAGCCTGAAACGAATGTGTCTCCTTGTATAACAGGATAGTAAGAAAGTATGAGGTCATTATGATTCATGTTTAGCACTGTATGCAGGTGGTAGAATGGAAGCTTCTGGCTTTTTGATGAAGGTAGCTGCTACGTAGATGTTTTGGAAATTCTAACAAATTCATGACACAGTATTAGATATACTACATATAAAACATAATGAACTTAATGCAACAATCTGGTATATTTCAACCTGTAGAATTTCCCATAAAAGTGGCTATTGCAACTGTAAGGGTGATGCTATAGAGTCACATTGAAAATTATTGTAAAAATGTATATAAATTATAACAATAATATAAACTATGAACATTTTCTCTGTTATAATAATAAATGCAGATGTTTGCAATGTGCACTGTAGTTTATTCACATGTGTCTACACTAGGTCTCCTTGAGTGTGTCCAAAGGTGTCCTGACCACAGAGATTCCAGCTGAAGGGGGGACGATCCAAGGTGAGATTCTTACTGAGATTCCAGAACGAATACCACATAGGTTGTAGTTCTTGGATGAGTGTGACTAAGTCTGATTTGGTTAAGCAACTAAGCAAATAAAAGTTGACAATAATTTGTGTTGTGTAGCATTTTATTTATAGAAAAATCAGTGAATTTAAAAGCGCGATCAAGTGCATCATTCCTAACTCAAGTGTATTAGGGGCGCACCGTCCTCAAACAGTGACTCGAACCCGCCCGGAACCAAGGTTTTATCTTTTGTTATTTCTTCTTCAAAGACAAAGTTACATGCTTGCTTTGGAAATGCAGTCTCACACATAAAGTACTATAAGTAATCTGAAAACGGCAATAAACCAACAGCCTGTTTGGTTTTATTGATCTCTACACTGAATTTACCCATTGAGGTTTTTATCTGTTGTCACAACAGTGTCATAATGCTTCCACAGTTCAATGACCCTGATCCAAAGTTTTACCCAACAAACTCCACTCGCTGAACTCTATTGTACATCGACCTTAGCCTCTGTCAAGTCGTTTTCACATGTTGTAAAAATGAATGTTCCATCAACTCTAAACCAATATAAGTGTCAGTTGTTTTTATTGATATCATATCGGAATAACTTGTATCAATATATAGAAAAATATACTACAAGAACTGCAGTTAGTTAAATGTCTTAACTCCCAAAGTACCTGTGTTAACACCTGAGACTGTTGAAAGGACTAGGTTGATTAATTTTACAAAACAGGATTTTATAACGGCAGTAAATTGTAGTTGACTTTATCCAATTCACAAAAACAAAGGTTATACATACAAAAAAGGAATATGATTAAACAGCTGTTTCACTGTTGTAAAATCCTGTAACTGTAAACTACAGGTGATGGTGAGAGCAGACTGATAATGGAGTCTAACAGCCTGGTGATCCTCAACAACCTGCTGGCTAAAGTGTCATATACCAGCACTATCTACCACATACTCACTGGAGACCTTGGTATGTATGTAAGAAATTGGAACTGAGCTAGATAACAGAATATATATATATATATATTTTAAAGTAAATGCAGTTGCAGAAATTAAATGCACACGATGGCATGTATAAGTCCTGATACAGAAAATGTAATCAAAAGGAATTAGTTCAATTGTCAATGCTTTGCACAGACCTGTGTGTGCACAAATATATGTCCTGTGTGTAACGTTCAGCTAGAATCAGTGAAACTGGTTATTGTGGAAAATGTTTGGGTGTTCTTAGATTCACTGCAGGTTACTTTGAGTTCACCTTGTTTCCTAAATGTCATAATTAACTAATGTATTACTACTAATGCACAACTCAGCTGTCCTTTTCTGTACATAGCATCTTTCCAGTTTGAGAACCATGAAGCCGTGTTTCCCATTACCATCAAACAGCCTCACCTGCCGGTCCTGTACGACATGGGAACAGGTAGGAATTAAATCATCATGGTGGTCTGGGGGTTAAAAAACAAGTCAATAGTCAATTACTTATGGCAGGAAAGTGCTGCTTCTCAAGGCTCTTCTCATTTCTCTATTTTGTGCCTCCTCGTCTCGTCGCTCCTCCGTCCTCCTGCCTGTGATTTGGAAATCGATCTCGGTTGTGTTGTGAATGTGTTTACTGTCAAATCGCACGATTTTATTTTGTATTTTTTGCGTGCATTTCCTGTCCTGACAATAGAGGTTACCTGACAGAGGAGCCTGCACCGGAAGCGGCTCCACAGTGGAGATCTGCAGTTGGCCTCTCTTGAGAAATCCAGTCATTTCTGAGCTTTCTTTACCAGCGTAGAGATGTGAGATAACGACACCAGGTTATCTGTGATGCCATAGGGGCCATTTACAATGAGGACGCTGGGGACACGTTCTGCAAAACAGCACCAAGAAATGTTAACTAACAAAGGAAAATGGTTTGAGAAAAGTTGATTTGCACAATAAGAAAACATGCAATGCAATATAGTTTTCGCTCATGTAAAAACAGACATTTCCACTGTAAATTGGTGCAGAAAATGTCTCCAGAATGCAGGAAATTATGAGTTTAATGCTCAAAATCTTCTGGGGGAGGACCACCAGACCCCCCTCACATATATTTCCGCATCAAACATTTAATTTAAATAGTGCTAAAAATCTTCTTGTGTTGTTCCTATGCATTGTCATGTCTCATTCCCTCCTTTTTCTGGAAAAAACCCAATCAGCTCCTTGGTTCTACTGATGTTGAGCAGTAGGTTGTTCTGTGGATACTGACAGTCGCCGGCCCTCTGGAGGTGGAGTAGACTTTACAGCTGACTCTTTTAGGAGATCAAAGGCGAGAATAAAATGTGTTTGGTGATGTGGCCTCACACTTGATGAGGGAGCTCCTGCTTTTGTACCCATGATGTTCTCCTGCCACATATCATTAGTGTTGTTGGTGTTGAGGTCTCACTCCATTCTCTGCTGATGTATCTGCATCGCCTCACCTCTCCATTCATCCAGGCCTTCTGATTGGGGAATGATTTTAACGTTTTAGTGATTACCACATTGACTCATTTGCTGCAACTATTTGGGATTGCTGCCTGGTCCCCAAACAGATTGAAAATGTCCGTAAAGACCTTGGTCAACTGCTCCCCACAGGCTGTAAGCACCTGTCCAGGTATTCCATCAGGGCCAGGTGCTTCCTGTACATTCTGTACATTCACCTTGCTCAGAGTAGAGAAAACGTCTGAGGTGGAGTGTATGAGAGGCAGCTCACCAGGGCTGAGTTCAACCCTGATAAAAAGTAGCAAAATGTTTATACAGAAATGGTGGTGACTTGAACACTCTGTTGTTTAAGCGAGCGTACTGCACGGCCTTTTTAATATTCTTTTATATAAACATGTCGCTGCTGATTACACACCCAACAATGACATACACCCACCATTCCCAGGAAACATGCTGTTTAACCCGGAAACTGTAACAAAGCATTTTGAGATGAACTTGCCTCAGGTTGGGGATCCACTTTGTTTCCACAATCAAAGTGAGCATTGTGGTTGAGCTCTGCAGTCCTCCTGGTCTCCAGTTCACTAGCACAAACTTAAAATGCTCATGTAACACATAGATAGAAACACACCTTTTGTCTTTACTGTCTTATTGCTTATTGTAACTCTCTGTCTTTCAGATATCAGCTCTCACGTCACCATTGCCACAAAGACATTCCTGCGCTACAGACAACTCAAGGTGTTGTTGAGTAGCATCCGGCGTTTCTATACCAACATAGAGGTCATCATAGCAGATGACAGCATAGAACCAGAACACATTACTGAAGAACACACCAAGCAATACATCATGCCTCCAGCGCAGGTATACACACATACTTGGGCAGTATTGTATTACATTAACACATATACCACACATGTAAACCATACGATCACACAAAAGAAGAAAACGTTGGGCTAAAGTGGCTTTGGTTTGTCAGTTTAGAGATGTATCAGACTAAAATATCTATGAAAAGTCCCCAGATTTCAGACTGATACATTTAAATTGTGTCAGTAAAGTATTAACACCATTCATGTTTAATAGAAAAGAACTATTCTACCATATTTGTGACATATGAATCAGGGATCATTAAAAATACACACCTACAAACAAATACAAGGCCATGATTATTATACAACACACGAAGCATAGCATAGAACTAAACTGTGGGTAGTGAAGACATTTAAACACCTTCAGTTGCCTCATTTGTTTAAAAATGACCTTTCTTGTTGTGATGATATATTTCAGTTCAGTTATTTAATTTATCATAAAACAGAATTTTTTCTATCCTGTATACATTAGGGATTTATTTTGGAGAATGCTCACAGGTTTTATCACATATGACATCACAACAGTTTGGAAAAAATATTACAATTACTATTTTTATTTTATTGACAACTTATTTCATATTTGTCTGTTGAATGAACATTTCAAAATATTGGACATAGATTCAAAATGTGAAACACGTTTCCTCCGACAGGGCTGGTTTGCTGGGAGGAATTTGGCTGTCTCCCAGGTAACCACCAAATACTTCCTGTGGGTGGATGATGACTTTGTGTTTACGGAGGAGACGAAGATTGAGAAGCTGGTGGAGGTGATGGAGGCAGTCCCCGAACTTGACGTGGTGAGAATGAAAGTGAATCTGGAGGGGTAGATCTTGAGAAATATTTACTGGGTAATGAGTGGTTGGCAGATATGTTCTTATTTACTAACTTACTTACTGACTAAAGTGGCTTTTTGTTTGAGGTTTAGAGCAAGTGATTTTAGTGCTTTTTAAACTGGGTGCTTTTGTATGTTGCAGTTGCATGACTGATCTGAAATTTAGACATGTTTATCTACAGAATACAGTTTCAGGGATGTTGGTAGCTGCTGGCAATTCAGAGACACTTGTGAAGGTGGGGGATCCACTTTTGTGGTGACCTTCTTGTTTCCTCTGTCAGAGTGAGCATAGAAGTGGTTGAGCTCGTCAGAGCAAGAGGGAGGAACAGTGCTGGGTGGTTTGAGTTTAAGTTTGAGGTTTGGCTTTAATCAGTCCTCACACATTATAAAGAAAGATTTCTGTACCAGAGTAAGACAGAGTTTACAGGCGAGTAGTGACACATGAACAGGCAATACTTCCAAGTAACATTATGTAGTAATTTGTATCTTAAAGTAACAGCTTCAAAATTGTTTGATGGTGCAGTGACTTAGGATAGGGTGAACGATGTTTCTATCATTGCTGCTCCTGTCAGGGTTTGGTCAATGTGGAGGAGGTTGAGGACCCAAATGCAAGACACTGAGTAAGGCAGGTACAGTTGTTGATATTTACTTACAAACTAAAAGCATACACACTTACAAGGAGTGGCAGAGTTAAAAACAAACCCAAATGACACAAAGTGATTAAACAGAAATAGGCTACAGGTAATCCCAACAGAAAATCCTAAAATCCACATGAAGGCAGGGTACAAGCCCGACACGAGATAGAGCATTACAAGCTACAATTAAAGCGGCAAGCAGTATTGGGCGGGCCCTCCGAATATAGGCACCGTATATTCTGCAGCTCGGCTGTTGCGGCTCTGAATTGTCACACACTTCCAAAACTGCACAGAGGACTTAAACGCCACTTGTGTCCCCTATGTGGCGCTACATAGCACTTGGTAACTATACATTATGTCTCACGTACGTCAAGTGTGGAAAATTTATTTAAATCGCACGATGAGTGTCAGACAGAGCTTACTTCCTGTTGCCATTAGGTGGCGCTACGACTATAACTGACTATTGGCATGTGGATGTGTTCGGGGCGGGATGTTATTATGTACGTAAAGTTTGGTACAAATTTGACCATTTACAGTGAAGTTATGACGACTTCCTGTTTCATGGCGAAGCATGGACCTTCGCCGCCATTTCATGGAAACTCACAAGCTTTACAACATGACATCACCAATGTGTAAAGAGTTTTCTAAAATAGTTTTGAAGTAGATATAGCCAACCTGCAAGAAGTGGTTCATCACAGCATAGAAATAGTCCATTCCTCTTGCCAGCAGGTGGCACTATAACTTTGAGTGAATGTTGGCATATGGATGTGTTCAGGGACTCTTATCATACATGTCAAATTTGGTGCAGATATGAGCATGTACACTGAAGTTACAACAACTTCCTGTTTTATGGCGATTCTTCGAATTTGGACGCCACGCCACGGGCACGCCATTCCACAACAACTCATTTGTACAACTTTTAATCGTCAATGGGTTTAGACTGCACAGCAAAATCTAAAGTCGGTCCAACTAAATTCCTAGAGGGAGTTCGTTGAACCATGGAGTGTGTAAATCCTCCAAAAATGATAAAGTTCAAATGGCCGACTTCCTGTTGGGTTTAGGGCAACGCTCCAAAAGGCTTTTTGTACATCTGGACACGATACATGTGCCACAGAAATTTCATACATGTAGGTGAAACGTGCCGCGGGGACTGCTTCGTTAAATGTCACTCACTGTTGCAAAAAGGTGGCGCTATGATTATGGGTGAATGTTGGCATGTACATGTATTCAGGGCGGGACTCTTATTAAACATGTAAAATTTCGTACAGATCATGTTCAGTCAAGTTACAGTTACCCAGATGTGAGCATGTACACTGAAGTTATTACAACTTCCTGTTTCATGGCGAATCATCAATTTTTCGATGACACGCCACGGGCAAGATGGTCGACTGGTAATAACTGTTTATACAACTTTTAATCGTCAGTGGGTATTGACTGCACAGCGAAAACGTGAAGTCGATTGGATTAATTCCCTAGGAGGAGTTTGTTAAAGTACAAAGTGTGTAAAACTGTCAGGGTTGTGAGGGGTTGAGCAGGTTGGTGGACCCAAATGCAGGACTCAGAGCAGGTCAGGTAACGTTCAAAAGGTTTATTGTGGCAACACAAAGCGAGCACACTTACAAACTGAGTGGCTGAGTCCAAGTAATCCAAAAGAAATAAACAATCCAAGCGAAACCGGTGATCCAAAAGAACTCAAAAGGCATACTCCAAATAACCAGGGAACTGGCAGGACACAACACGAGACAGAGCCATAAAAGCTACAATGACCGGATGAAGACTGAAGAGAAACACCAAACATATATACACCAGGGACTAACGAGCAGGGCGGGAGTAACACAGGTGACACAACACAGACATGAGACTAACGAGACACAGGCAGAAACATCAAACAAACTAACTCAGACACAAGCAGACAGATCACAACAAAACTAAAACCAACAGGGAAAACAGACTGAGGATGGGATAGACAGAATAACAGAACTCATAGCCGACATGGGTAAAACACAGAAGTACGCAGACCCGGAGAAAACACTAAGACTTGAACTGAGACACAGAACGAGGAGCTATGACACAGAGCTAAACCTAAGATACAAGACAGATACTAAGTTAAACTTAAAGATGCGGAAGAACAAAATAATAAACAAGGCTACACGGAGACTAAAGCAGAATGATCAAAATCATAATGAACTAAACAGATCATAACCACACACGCAGACAGTACCAGACCAACCAGCACAAACACAGAGTAAACTAGACATAAGACATGACTGAAATGACCCAAAACACAGACTATCTATGTAACAGATACTGGAGACAGGGCAATAGACAGGACAGAACCCAAAACCCAACATACTATAAGACAGACACTAAAAAGACTACAAATAAGATCGACTGGGAACCAAAACAGAGCAGGCACGCCCACAGTGTGACAAAAACCTCAAAAATGACCATTAAATCCAAAATGACCAACTTCCTGTTGGGTGTCTGGCATTGCTCCAAGAGGCTTTTTTGTACATGTGGACATCATACACGTGCCACAGAAATTTTGTACATGCAGGTGAAACTTTGTCTGGGGGCTGCTCTGTAGGGGGCGCTAGTGAGCTACTTTGCCTTTTATTATGTCCTAAGTTTGGTGAGTTTTCGAGCACGTTTTTTGTTGGCACTTGCTTGATGTTTGGCTGTGTTGGCAAAGGTGTTGACGTTGCTAGTTTTTGATCATAATGTTATCATGACAAATACACGTGGACAGCTGTCCTTAATTGACAGTGGTGAAATACACCCTGAAATTGTAGAGGTGCTACATCACACCAGATCTTACATAATGTTACTTTAAGAAAGGTAACTTTTAATGTTCCTTTTTAAAACTGTACTTTTGCTCTTTAGTAGTAGTTTTAGTATTTTGTGGGACAGCAATCTACGTGTAACTCATGGCTCATTTCAGTGAGCTTGTGCCATATATTCATGAGCTGGGCAGATGCAAACATTTGAAAAGCAAATACGTTTGTATCTCAAATTCAGTAACTGCACACTATACCACAGGTGGCCGTGTTAGAAAACAGCCACATCACCCTTTCACAAGCTTGCAGAAATACTTTCACTTTCCATGTAATATTTAAAGTTAATTTGGTCTATGCAGAACAACTGTACACTGTATAACTCTCTACTGTCATTTGTCATGTCACGCTGTCAAGGAGGTTGAGATGGCGCCAGTGTGTGTGGCTGTTTCTGTCAATGCTGTGTGTGTTTGTGCTGTTTGTGTCACTTAGTGTTCAAAACATCGATTCAATATTGGTGTACAATCGCAAAACACTACTGGATCTCTGATTCTCTGCCTATCCTCTCAATATTAACCTTTTCTTATTAATATACTCTTCATTAGTCTGTTCACGTATGTAGGGTTTAGGTCAGAGTTGTGAGATTGTTTTGGTGTTTCCCCCCTCTTGTTGTTCCTCTCCTCTCCTTGAATGTTTATTCAAGGCTGGGAGAGGATCTCTGTTCGCCAAAACATAGAAACTTAGACTGTGTAAATGATAATGCATCCTTTTGCTCGGGGCCAGACGCCTGACGCTGCTTTAGGCGGCAGGTCTCTGGAACAGCTGTATATGTGTTATAGTACTTCTCTGTTCATTCTCTTTTATTAATAAATTCGTCAAAGACGATTCAATTTCCATGACAAAGAACAGTGTGCTCATGTCTGATCTTCAGTGCATCTCACACATTCACCTTTCTATTTGCCACCTAACCGTTTATGATATGGTGGAGGGTAGTAGTCTCTGTGGGGAGTGAGTGGGAGTTTCCTGTAGCACTCCTATAATTTTCTAGAATTCTCTGCATCCAACTCCCGCCAGCCTTTACCACCTTCTTTGTATCGGTTGGGCTTCATTGTATGAAATGTATCAAATGCTTCAGCATTGTCGTACATCTCATCCAATGACTTGCAGGGATGGGATACCCATTCTACATCACTATAGTTAGCTAGCAAGCCAGCTATAAATCTGGGGAAGAATTCACTAGGTTTTTTGTTACAGTGTTTCTCATACGTACATTTATTTGTGGCAGCCCGCCACAATATCAACGCTGACTGCCACATTTTTTGTTTTACTAGGCCTATTTAAAATCGTATTTGATTGCAGAGTGCTGTAGCGCATTCGCGCAGCACATCCTCAAGTTCCCCCGAGTATCATCAGCTTTACTGTTAAGCTGATGATACATGGGGCAACTTTTTGAGCAATGTTGCTGGGCAATCTTGCTAGTGGCAAGTCTGACTATGTTTTGAACGGATAGCGGCAGTGGGTGGCGGGTAGCGGAGTGGTGGGGGAAGGGGATTATG